CAGACTATATTGCAACTTTGTTCTAAGAACTTTACCAACTCCTTAATTTGTATTAATATATATTTTCCCCCTTTATAGAAAAAAAAAAAAAAAAACCTGAATCGACCTTCACTGCGGAAGTTCTCTCATGCCCAGTAGATACCCGCACTAGTATTCTCTTCATAAGTGCTTCAATTGGATCTTCCTTTACTAACCTCGGGAGTTCACTCATACCCAGAGCAGAGAGAGCATGTCAGCCGTCTCCTTATCGACCTTGATGTGATCCGTCTTGATGGCGAATTTATCGGGGACGAAGTCCCTGCGTCGCTCCCGCCCCGCGTCCTGCAACTTGAGCGAGGTGCCCCGAACCCGACCCTTCTGGTTGCGCTTCATGAGAAGGGTCGAGAATCCGGCAATCTGGTATCAAAGGCGCTTGGAAGGGATTAGGGCAACCTCATCGAGTAGATCTTCTTGTTGGTGTGGAAATCAAGAGTCATTCTCGAGTAGCAGCAGCTCGATTACTTGCCGAGATGACTTCTTCACCGTCTTGGTTTGGACTCGTCCGATGGCTGCTCCTGCTTCACTCTTTAAATGCTGAGTCCTTGCTAATTTTATTTCAGTTTCTCCTTCTGGACTATTCTTTATGTAGGAGTGGAATGGGTAATTGTTCAAATGAACTGCAAAATGATAATGGGCCAACTGTCTTGATTATTAAGGATAATGAAGGATATATATATATATGGGGGTTATGCTTCCCAGCTTTGGGAGAGGCATAGTGATTTCTATGGAGATATGAAGTCTTTTCTCTTTCAGCTCCATCCAAAGGCATCTACATTCAGACCAACTGGGACCAACAACAATTTACAATGGGTATGTTTCCACTTGCTTTCCTACTTTGCTGAAACAAATGTGCTTTTGAATTGTTTATTTGTTTGATTTCAATGAATTTTATATGATGGTTCTCACACTTTTCTTTCTTTATTCAGCTTGCTGTGATTAGTTAAGCCCTGTAGGAGAGCTTTTTTTTTTTTTTCCCTGTAAAAGTTGATTTTTTTTTTCCCTTCGTTTCTTTTATCTCTAGTTTCCACTTTAGTAGTTGGAAAGTAGCACCTAGTTCCCATGGTCGGTGGTATTCCATTTCCTTCTAGTGTACAGTAGCATTTCATGCTTCGTTGTATGTTTACCCATGCATTTAGTATTTTAGTCCTATTGTCTTTATTTTAGTCTTATTGTCTTTATTTTTGGCCTTCAGTATTATTGTTGTTCAACTGCCTATTGTTGTTTTGTTTAACTGACTTATGTAGCTTACAATTTCCAATTGGCAGTGTGCTGTGAGTTTCAGTTCAGAGACCATTCCAAATGGCATTGGGTTTGGAGGGCGAGTTAATCACTTTGGCCATGTTCCTCTCAGCAGGCTTTGATCAGGGACACATTTTCTCTTGCACAACATTCAACAGCCCTTGCCTTTCAAAGAACAGTAAAATCTGCTGAGAACTGATTAGAATGCTGAGGACTAGTGAGGAAAGGAAAACAAGAAGAAAGACAAGATGCTCCTAAAGGTACTGTGTTAGAAAGTTTTAAGGAGGACCGGAGTATGCTCGGTATGGTAGGGATTGCTAATGCTAGTGAGTAAATGTGATCATCTTTGGCCCGCACTTTTGGATGTGGCTTCAACATTCTGATCAGTGCTTAAGGTTAGAAGTCCTGTTCAATATCTGTCTGGTTTAAGGAAAATTGTTTTTATCTTGAGTCCCTGATTCCTCAATCAAACAGAACTTTACTATTTATTTTCATCAATATAGTCCCTAAAAATGCAAGTGTATCATGTATACACCAAATCCTCTAACTATAAAAATTTACTTGTGGTTTGAAATAGGAAGTTACAGCAGTGTTTATGAGGAGCCATACACTAACCTACTCATCTCACAGAAATACATTTTTGCATCTTTCTTTAGCTAGAAATAGTAATTATAATGTTTCTCTATTCCTTGCAAAGAAATATCAAATAATATGAATCATTTAACTCTTTCAGTGCTCCCTTGTTGCTTAAGTTTCAAACATTCATGGGCAGCATAATGTAAGTAGCTTGCCTCTTTAACGCAACATTTAGATTTATGATATCATTTGCTTGATACCAACAAGAGTTTGGCCAAGTTAGTACCCACTTAAAAGCCCTTTTTCTAGATTAAGGTCTGAAATTCAAATATCTATGATGTTAAGCAACTAACTCTCCAATTTAACATGTAAAATAAAAAGGATATCATTCTTCATTCAGTTGATGCAGTAGGCAGTTAGTAGGATAATTGCATATCAACATTTGCTTTTCCATTATTGGAATTTTTGTATTTTTCAAATACAGCTACTATTTTTAAGATCTATTATAACTAGAGGGGCTACTGTAAAGTTAACATTGCTTCTTTGGTATTTCTTAGTGGAAAATATATTGTTCAAACTCTGAAAGTTAATTCAAGTGTGTCTCATGTCTGACTTTTTTGTGGCTGATCAAACATGTTTGACATCTATTCTTTATAAATCGTTGATGAAAGTGGGATCGGCACTAGAATAAAAGAGATTTTAATTTTTTTTCCTATTTTTTTTAACCTGGAAAAGGTTTCTTTCATCTCAAGTTTCTACTTTAGTAGTTGGAATGTAGCATAGACAGACAATGTGGTATTCCATTTTCTTACAGTTGTGGTGTACATTAGCACTTCCATGCCTCGTTTATGTTTACGCATGGATTTAGAACTATTATTTTTCAGTCACAAAGGCTTCCATATCTGGAACTTCATGAACTTTTCAATATTTCACCCTCAGCTCCTGTATTCCTTAGTATTTGAAGGAGTTGCATTTAACTACTTGACCCTGCTTTCAAAAATTCTATTGCATCACATCTCTTGCTTTACCATTTTCATGGATTGCTGTTTTATTGCGTTCTTCACAGTCTCCTCTACCATGTTTAATGGTTTCTCTGTTTTCTGTCATCAAAAGAGCAAAACAATGCAGCTAACTGGCTTCCTTCTTGCTGACATTTTCATTGCAGACTCATTTTCATCATTTTTGCAAGTTTGAATGCAACAACTTCAGCGGTAACACTCAAAGCTTCAAAATCAAATCTAAACAAAACAGATATCTTAATACATACTTCGCACTTTGGACCTATTCTTTACAGCATTTGTGCTTTGGTTGTCATTTTCTTTGCAACATATAGTAACATGCCTCTCTAACTCTTCAGCACCTCCTTCACCAGAATCACCACAGCTTCTCCTTCTTTAGACTTTGCTGGAGGTTCTGCGATACCAAGGTTACATCTAACGTGGACTTTATCTTTGAAAGAGCTGGCATTTCTAGCAAGTACGTACTTTTTTTTATTCTTCATCTTCTAAAGCTCCCCGGGGCTTAGGATTTGGCTACTTGGTCCTTCCAAGTAATTTGATGCAGTTCACTAGGTACTCTATTAGTCCACAGTGGCATGGTCTCAAAAATAGTTAGTATTTAAATCGCCAAATGTTTATAAATAAATATATACTAATGAAAAAATATACTATATATCCACCAAATATTTGTTACAACTGTGGCAAATACAGAAGCCTAATCAATCAACCAACTTTGACCAACGGTCAAAGCATAGTTTGACATCCATGACCAATCATTTATTCAAAGCAACACGCATGTATTAAAAAAAAAAAGAAACATTTATTCAAAGCAACATTCATTTAAGTGGCTAATTCACTGGCATCACTAGAAATTGCAAGAACTTTTTACCGCTGTCGTCAACCCCTCAAGTTCCTCATCCCCCAAATGACCATATCTGCTGTCCAGATCATCGAGGATATTCTCTTCTTACCAAAGATGTTTGAGCTAAAAGTCAAACCGATAATCTCAACCAGAAGAGGAAATTGCAACAACACGTAGCATACGATAGGAATACCAGCAAACAGAGTTACAGGAATGACAAACCCCAATCCACCTTGGCCTTGTAGCATTATGAAAAGAGCAGCACAAAATGCTGTGGTCATTGTTGCAATAGAGACGAAGAGTGAAGTAAGGCCGATAATCAAGAGGAAGGTTTTGCGGTAATCTTCATCAGAATGATGTGAAGTCAGAATCCCCAAAAACATTATCACTGAACTGGATGCAGTAAAAAGAGAAATTGCATCTGATACAATAAATATCATAAACGGCGTCGGAGTTTTGTGCAAAAATACAGGAAAACCTGTACTTTGATCATTCCCACCAGGAACAGAAAAAGCCACCGCAAACATAATTGTAATAATAAGAGCACCAACGACTGTTGAAGATTCTGCTGTTTTCTTCACCCATTCTTCTGCTTCTTTTAGCAAATCCTTGTGTTCTCTAACAAACACTTCCGAGGGGGTTTCATTGTCTTTATTTTTGCCTTCTTTGTAGGCTAGTGGAACAATTTCTTTTACTGCCTGCAATTGTTTCATAATATTATAGATGCTAAGTGAGAAGCTAATAAATAATATATAGTCTATCATTATATATATATATATATAATTTTTGGAGTTAGATAAATAAAAGATTAAAATGCGAATATTTTTTCACCAAATAAAAAAATAAAAAATCAATAAGATTAGTTATTTCAATTGAAATAAACTTATCCTTATTGACAAAACACAAGAGAGTCTAAATAAATAAGATATATCTTTAGGATGAGATTGAAATTTCATGAAAATAATATAATATACAATTCATAGTATAAAAAATAATATATACTAGAAAAGAGTAGTGTATGGATAAGGAATAATATAAGATTTCTCATTACTTAATTAAAAAAAATGAAAATAAAAGATATTTACCTTGAACCAACGTAGTTCAATTTGCAATTGTGAAGCTGCAGCATAGATGTAACCTGATTTATAGTTAGGAGCTAACTTTGCTGCGAGATGTAATGTATTATTTCCATCTTCATCGATGGCAAAAAGCATGTTTTTCTCCTTTTGAGATTCATAAAGAAAGTGTGCCACTTCCTCTTGACGATGTGCTATAGCACAAGCAAATATGTTTCTTGATGGATCTTCAGGATCTTTGTTGCACCATAATTCGTTATTTGCATTAGCTTTTATAATTTCTTTCACAATGTCTGGGTTGCCATTCTTGATAGCCTGGAAGGTTGCTTCCAGTGCTTTACTTTGCACAAACTGGATCTCATCTAATTTTGAAAATGACTCATGACATATCAAATGTATAACCTCACGGGCATACTCATCCATCAACTTTAGCTGATATAAATGTGTTTCTAATAACAAAAGAAAAAAAAAACTTTAGTATAAAGAAAAATCAAGATATAGAACAAAAATGAAGAAAAGAAAAGGGCTCATTGATTAGTAGACGTAGTATTTCTTACCAGAGGCCCTAGAGAGCATTGAAACCAGCGTGCCTAGCGCCACTATACAATGAATGAATTATATATTTAGGATCAGAAAGAATGAGTTTCATAATTGCAATTTATTGCCTTTATAACCGTTAGCTAAAATGTGTATGCTCATTGAGTGGATGTTGTTGCTTATTGCTTACCAAGGATCAGCATACCAAGGCACAGTACGATTGAAATAGTGATTGCGTATGCCAAGAAGATGGCCAAACCTGCAGTGAATAAGTTATATTCAAGATTAGATAGAATGAGAGTTTCGTAATTACAATAATTGATTTTTTTTCTATGATTTTTAGTGAAAAATATTACCTTGAACTCATAATACAAGATTAAAAATGACCTTAATCCAAATTATAAACACAAAAGGAACAACATACGCATTCATCTATGTGCTTTGCTGACAAACATAACACAAAAATAAATTTAAGGGAATAAAAGTCTCATTGAGTGGACATTATTACTTACAAACTAGATAAATTGACAGAAACAGTATTGAACTTGGTATCCCTGCAATGAATAAGTAACATTTAGAATTCCAAAGGAATGACTTTTATGAATACAATTAACATAAATGAAAAAAAAAAAAAAAGTAAATTGAGTGGATGTTACTACTTACAAATAATGAAGACTATCACTTTTTTTAACAGAAACACTGCAATGAATGAAATTATATTGATTAATCAGAAAGAATGAAGGTTCGTAACTACAAAAATTAATTACTTTTCATAATCTTAACCAAAAAGATTGCCTTTAACTCAGCACATATATATATATAGGAAATAAAAAAAGAATTTAATCCAAATTATAAACACAAAAGCAAGAATTAATTATTGTGAAACTCAAATAAATATAACATAAAAAGAAGGCATAAAACTCATTCTACAAAAGTACGCTGATTAAAAATAAGAATCCAAATAAATTTTCTATGTTGATTAAATGAAGAACATATATTTGCTATATTATTTCTACATATAAGAGTCAAGATATAGCACAAAAAAGAGGGGGAGAAGGAAAAGAAAAAGACTCATATATAGATTATAACCATTTTACGTATGGTACCTTTGTGGTGAATGAGTAAAAATTCAAAATAAATAAGTTAGTAATAAGTTTCATGCATAGATGCAATAAGCGCTGTGGCGCTAATTGCACTAGCAATATGCATTAGAGACCTTGGCAAGATTGGAATCCCAACTTTGTGTGAATAAATTATCCATCCCTAATTTCCAATTGCCTTTTAACCTATAGCATATGAACAAAAAGTGACTTTTACCAAATTATAAAGAGAAGCTTGAAATCCAAAGAGCAACTTTTGTGCCAGGCATCTACTCAACAATTAGAGAAAATTGCAAATACTAAAATAATATATACCGCATAAATTGTTAAATGATTTCATCCTTTGAAACCTCTCTCGATTCTCTTTTAGAATCCTCTCTTGATTCTTTCTTTGAATTCTCTCTTGATTCTTTCTTTGAATCCTTTCTTGATTCTTCCTTTGAAAAATCCTCTCTTGCTTCTTCTCTTGAATCATCTGAAAACAGTGTTGGACCATCATTTTACATGACCGATAGAAGTCTTCGACGTTGTCTTCGATATCCTGCTCCAATGTTCGACGCTTCGCTCCTTTGATGGGGTATGTCTTCACGCTTATGCCTTGAATTACAATTTCAATGGATAAAGAGAGCATTCAATAGATTAAATCAATCAAGAAGAACAAACTGAAAGAAAAAAGAAAAAAAAGAAAAAAAAGAAAAGAAAAGACAGCTGGAAGAAAAACCAAGTAGGTTATGCGAGTTGTGAGGAAATCTAAGATTAAATTTGTTTCTAGCCAAATGACTATTAAGTATATTAAAGGAAAATTATTATGTTAAAAATTAAAGAGAAAAGAGAAGCAATACTGACAATCATATATCCACAATTCCCAAAATGAAAGATTACTTCCTCTGAAGAATGGGGGTTGTGTTTGAGCTAGTGTTAAAATGAGTGGCTTGAAATCTGAAAAGCAATTGTGAGACGCCAACTCTGGAATATGATGGAGTAGATCGAATGCAATATCTGTTATCAAAGCTTGTAAATTAACAACATAACATAATATGGGATTGCAAAAAATAGGAAGTCTTAGCAATTAAAATATCAAGAGCAATAATAAAAAAAGTTAAATATTTTTAATGAATTAATACTCAAAGAAGATTTATTAAGCATATTTAAATAATTTTTACGAGTAATTTTAGTGTTTTAAATATTAAAATATTCTAATTTTTATTTTTCTTAGATAATATACTGTAAGGAGACGAAGAATTAATTAATGTCAGAGTTCTTACCAAACATTTTCTTAGTTATACACTCTTGGAGGATGTAGAAGCCACGGTCTTCCTTTAGAGACTCTAGTGGAGTCTCACGGTATAGATAACCTATCATTTTCTCTTGAATTGTGTTGCAGGCCAAATGGACTGGGATCTTTCCTTCGTTGTCTGGGATGGTAAGCAAATTTTGGTTCTTTCTAACTAATTTTTGTGCAATTGATTCTCCGATTCCGTAACGAGCAGCAATGGAAAGTGCCGTACTACCAAATCTATCTTTTATTTCCAACTCTTCTAGTGACAAGTTGGACTCGATCAAGTACTTAACAATTTCTTCCTGCCCATTATAAACTGCAAGATGAAGAGCTGTGTACCCATGTTCAGATATTTCTGCAGATATTGCATTCGAATTTTCTCTAAAGAACTTCTTTACTTTCGACAGCTCTCCATCAGAAATGGCTTTAATTAAGGTCTCATATTGCGAACCTGCAAGATTTCCAGGCCCTGCCAATGACAGTTGTATCCACAATAAAAACAACACTCTCATCAATTCTTCTTTGTATTATAAAGATTAAAATAAACATTACAGATAAATTTGTTAACCATCAAATCTGAACCAATACCTTAAAAAACTCAAATCGAATTGCAGTCTCTTCAATGAACAGAGATGCGAAAAAGAAAAAGAAATTAAAACAGAGATGGAATAGAATAAAACCTGTTCGCTTTGCTAGGGGGTGCTCAACAATGTCCTGATCTGCGGGTTTATGCATATCGGCCAATGCATACCAAACATCTTTAGCAGAATTCATTTCCTTTATTTGATCAAACATTTCTTCTCCGCATGAAATCTTAATGGCATGCAGAGCTAAAGCATTCTTTTTAATCCACTCTCTCCCCATATTTCCTTCTGCAGGCAACTGGCTTAATTCAACGACATCCCCAAGATCTTGACTCATTAAATAGTCCTGCATGAAAATGCTCCACCTTTTGTAGTTGTTTCTTTTAAGAACTTCAGGTACAATCACACTTGCATGTGGAGCAACTACTTCCATCTTCGCGCCTATTAAATATTTAATCCCAAAAAACGATTTCTGTTAGGGTCAGCATATAAACATGAGATAGTTGAACCAAATTGACTATATATATATATATATATACTTACGTAGGATTAACGAGATGCGTGTGCTTCCCCTAGCCGCAGCCTCGAGCGAGTCTAATGAAACTCGAGCTGCCAGTTTAATTTTCAAAACTCAAATGAAATTGATTTGATCATATCAATGAGGCGCTATATATAGTTATAGATCATCAAGAAGCTCTATTAGAAAATGGAAAAGTAGAGCTACAGAAAAAGATGAATCATCATCTGTTGTGATTTGGGATTTGTGTCCATGCTTAAAATTGTTTTATTATTGAATAATATAAAATGATAGGATTACCATATCATATGAGATAGTAATTGATATATATTCTTAAGATATTAATATAAATACTTTTTTATTCAACATAATTTATAATATATTTATTAAAAAATTATTTTTTAAAATTTAAATTAAAAGTAAAAAAAATTTAAAATTATAAATTTTAATAATTGAATCATTAAATATTAATAATTATGTTGAATAAAGGTATATTAATCATTTTCTTAAAATAAAATAAACTAAAGTTGGTTATTCCTTGCTTCGTATGATTACTTGCTGGAAAATATAAGTCTTACCTCTTACAAAAGGTGTTAGGTGGGCAATGGTTGTTTCGAATTTCTTCAATAATTAGGATA